AGATTATATGCAGATAGCATTCCGTTTTATATAAGGGGTCTGAGCATACTCCGAGTGTAATATCTGAGGAGAGCCATGGAATCAACACCCTGTGAATTGTTGAGGTATGGCTGGATCATATTTTATGGATCATATGCCAGAAAAAATGAATATGCTCTATTTCTCCTTGGTTATTTTGGTAAGAAATTGTGAAGCCAGGGCTAGGGCTGAAGCTCAGTGGTAAAGTGTTTGTCTAGTAAGTGGAGGCCCTGGATTTGATTTTCAGCAGCACAAAAATGAAGGGGAAGAAGGGGAGATGGAAAAGAGGGAGGGACAGAGGGACGGAGGGCGGGAGGGAGTCTGCCCGCCCTCCGGCTTCCACTGTCCTCTGGCTGGCAAATGTGGCCTTCTGTGTTTCTTGCCTCTACCTCTAATTTACTCAGCAGCTGGGTCTGCCACCTGAAGCATGATCATTTGACAGTTCTGAACTTTGCTTGTGTTCCTTTCAGCTCCCACAGTGAAATGAATCTTTCTCAGATATTTGAGTTCTGTGTGGTTCCAAACCTCCTGTGGAGGCCCCCTCCCTACTCTCCTGTTTTACATGTGAGGGGAGCTCTGAGCCCTGGCCTACCAACTTCACTGACTGTCTCATGACTTTTCATGCCCTGCTCACACTGTTTGAAATGCCTTCCATTCATCCACACTTGTCCATTTCTGCCTAAGTGTACTTGTCTGCCAGGCACCTCCTTTTTCTGAGCACGCCCTCTGATCCTCTCTCAGCCCACATATTCTGAACCAGAATTCATATTTCCATGCCATGAATATCATAACACATTTTCTGCTTTGTAACCTAAAAAGATTATTCATCTGCTTTTTCTTGCTATCTGAGGCTAAATTCTTAATGGTATAACAGAAGGATCCTTGTTATTTCTAAATTCTCTTTATTGTGTGGTTCTATGTTTATATAAATAACTACACATTGGACTTATTACTGAGTGAATCAGTTAATCGGTTATGGCAGATAAGAAACTTCTGATTTGTTATTTCGGCTGGTGAATTTTAACTTCTGTGATATATAGTTTCATTAATTAGATCAGATACATTTCAAGAAAGCCTAGTTGTTAGGTGAAGATGATTTGAATTTGTATTTTTCATCTGTGGGAAATTACCCCAGCACAAATTATTTCCTAAAATTGATTGGGTTGTAGCACTTGTATAGAACCCTTGGTATATTTGAATTATCAGAGGTAGGAAGAGGAAAAAAAAAGTTTTTGTTTGTTTTTTTTGTCAAAACACTGCTATAGAAGGGGTGGACCACAGTGATCTTGTCCCCAGTTTTCAGTTAGTGGTGACAGTAGACAACACAGCCAAGAAAGGTCTTTGTCAAATGAAAAGCAAAATAGAATGTTTAACTCTAAGCTGAGACCAGTTGTTCTTAATGGAAGCCATGTAAGCATTGAAATAAAACCAGAAACCACACATGTGGAGGAAGCAGTTAAAATCTCATAGTTCTTAATTTTGTTGTGAAATGAATTTTGTTGTGTAGATTACGAGCTCTGTAAAATCCTCTTGTGATTACTATGGTGGTTTTTATTGTTGTAATTATTTTACAAGCCTCGCCTTTGTTATTTCACAGAGCGATAGAGCTTGCGTTCTCTGGTGTCCTTGCCTTTCACACGTTTGTTAGTAGCTACCTGGTACAGTCTAATCTTTGATAAAGTTTGTTTCGGTCTCTGATGGGCTTGAATGGAAAACAAGAGTCATTGGAGAATGTACTAGACAAGAACATGGTGTATGGTGGGCAGAATTCAGGCTGTGGGAGGATTAGTCATAGGGCTTGGAGGAAGACTCTGATCATTGACTTCCTGAGTAAGCCACTCAGAAGAAACTGGTGCCAATTCACCAAACTCATGAATGAGATTTTCCAGGCTCTTACTTGAGTATTGGTTGGTGTGGGAAATTTTGTTCCAATCAACTTTCCAACCTTTAAAACTTTGAATTAATTAATGCCTCAGGAGGAGGATGTTGGAAGCCTTATGCTCTGCAGAGGTTGTTGTTAAATTAGAACATGACTCTTTTTGTCAGCTAAGATATTCTTTAAAAAAAGCATCAATTTCAGGTATGCTTTTAGGAAGAATCATTCCTGTCCTGCCTTATGTGTATTTCTCACCTGCAGTTTTAAGATTTTATCTTCAACGTGTGTTCTCACAAGGAGTAATAAAGCTCAGACTTTGTGAGCCTTTGGACTTCTGCCCTACAAGCAGTTTTTGTGCAAGGTAAAACAGGACCCGGGGCAGTTTCTTAATTAATAAGGTTGAGTTGCCACTTTGTGAATTCACTATTTTTTTAATAAAACAAAGTATTACTCACCTGGGAATTTGGAATGCAGATGTGACTATTTATATACCTGTCTGTCCTCATCAAGGTTTGGAAGCCAAATTAAGACATATATTCATAATATTCCTGAACTTAACTGACTCTTGGAGATGGCTGTGTAGTAATTTTTAACCTAGAGTGCTCAGTCCCGTGGAAGGTCACAGCAGGCATTCTCATGAACATTAATGAAAGTTTTAAAACAAGCCCGAACTCCTTGTCCTTGGCACTGCATACACAATGCAAAAGCAGGTACTTTTGTGTTCTTAGTGGCTAAATGGACAATAATAGATTGGTTTCTTACAGAGCACACATAAATTACATCCAGATCATTTTCCTATGTTAATTTCAACACGTGGTGGGTGAGGGGAAACATGAACATGTGTGGATGGATAGGATATCTAAGCTCTGCTTCCTGCTTTTGAGCATGTATTCCCCTGGTGGTAGAGATGATCTATAAATACAGATACCTGTGAGACCAAGTCATCCTCACATGACTAGAATGGACCAAAAGTCCCAGACGAGGGGAGCTGATGCTTTTCTAGCTGAGAAGATCAATGAAAGAGCTCAGAATTATAGTTTGGAGTGAGATTCTGAAAGATGTATTGGCTAAGACGATAGAGGAAGAAAATAATGAAATGGGAAAATGCTTCTTGTGCTCAGGTCTGACTTGTGTAGACTGAGGATACACACAGGATATGGGATAGAATGGGAAGGAGAGTTCCTTAAGTACAGTAGCTAGATTCACCCTGTTCCCCTACCCCCCCAACCCCATTGCTGCTTCTTAATGGGGGAAATGGAGGGAAACCTTGATCAATCATATTCTGTGATCCTCTATTCTTCTTCACCTTTTCACTTTCAGATGGTAGGAGGTTGTAGAGAATGACTAGGAAAGAAGAAAGGGGATGGGGAGTGGGCCAAAAGGACTTCCGCATAGCCCAGGAGTCTAACTACATTACTTTCTCCTTCATTTTGTTCCAAAAGCTTGACAGAGTCCATCACTGGAAAGAGCAAGGAGAAGGTGGCTAGGGGAGTTTCTGTTCTGAACGATTTCTATTCTGCCATCTGCCACAATTAGTTATATGAGATTAAAGGGCATAAATGGAATCCTGTTGCCAAAAATAAAAAGGTGTAAGGTTGACATACAGTCTTGATGGGTGCTAACTGCACTGATTTTATGTCATTGCCATTAATCAACAGTTAGATATTTTTAGATCTACAAAATATAGATATGTAACTTACAACACAATAGATTAGCTTTTTTATTTAAAAGATGGAGAAGACTTTGGAGGAAATAATTTTTGGCAGAAAGATGTTATTTAAAGAAGCAACCAAACTGGGCATGGTGGCTCAGGCCTGTAAAACCAATATTTAGGTAGCTAAGGCAAGAGATTGCCACAAGTTCCAAGCCAGCCTGGCCTACAGGGGACCCTATCTCACCCCCTCAAAAAAGGAGCCAGTTCATCCATAGCATTCGGGATGGACAGACCTCTTTTACGATTTCAGTAAGTCTTGATCTGTCAGAGAGAGAATAGGAGACACACTTAAAAAAAATCAAACCTAAGAAGTAATTTTTATTATAGTATTTACTTTTTTCTCACTGAGACAGTTTCCTGATGGAGCCCAGACTGACCTCAGAATCCTCTTGTCTCAGCCTCCCAGGTGTTGGGATTATGGATGTGGACCACAACATCCAACCTGAGGAATGATTCTTCATATTGTCTGGTGAAGAAATGAGCTTCCTAGAGAGGTCTATGACTTGAAGGAGAAATCTGCTTCTGTGTTTCAGGGTCAGAGAGTAACTAATGAAGGCTCTGCTCCGGGGATATTTTTCTCTATGCTTAAAACGAGCATATCTATTTTCCAATTCTGCGTTTTTGCTTTCAGAGAATATGTGAAAATTCAAACCATATTCTTTTTAAAAATTGTTTAATTTGTTATTTTTATTTTATGTGTATGAGTGTATTGCCTGCATGTAGGTAAGCACACCTGTGTTGTGCAGTGCCCACGGAGGTCAGAAGAGGCTGTTGGATCCCCTGGGACTGGAGTTATGGACAGTTGTTAGGTGCTATGTGGGTTCTGGGATTCGAACCCAGGTCTTCTGCAAGAACGACCAGTGTTCTTGACTGCTGAGCCATCTCTCCAGCCCCTAAAACCATATTCTTTAATAGTATAATCAACAGGAATTCTGTGCTCTGTGCTCAGAGAACAAGTTGTGCACATGTGTGGGTCTTTATCAGAGCCTAGCCATTGAAGATTTACGTGATAAGACCACTTCATGTTTATTATCTCTTAAGCCCCATCTGACTTTCACATTCAATTGGAAGCTGCTTGATTCTAGACAATGTACTTTGCCCTCTCTTAGAGACTATTGCTGCATCATGTGAAAGGTTCTTACTTCAAACTCTGGCCAGTGTAATTATCAATGAGCAACGTGACTGATTGCTGAGGAGTTCAGTGGTTATGTCTTTGCAATTGCATAAGACTGAGCCAAGGAAGTAAGAGCTGAGACAGTTTCTGGTATGAGATTTCTCTTCCAAAGATATATTGGTTGAGAGGGATTTTCTGATTGACTATAGGAGTTGTCCTGAGAGTGTCATGTAAGTTCTGTGGTGATGCATTATATGATTGTAATCTCTCTTTTCCAGGTTCTGCTCTTTACTGGGAAAGCAGCAAAATAAGGAAATTAAGGAGCCGTCCTGTAATTTACTGAGATAGCCCATCAGTGTCAACGTTTGTCAGACCGTGTCCCAAGAAAAGCCGAAGGCATCTGAGGACAGAGCACTGGGAAGCAACTCTGATGGTGCAACCAAGCTAGAAGACTTTGAGTCCGAGGCACAAGGTGAGTGTGAAGAAGGCACACTTAAAGCTAAGCAGGGTGAGATTAGATAGTGCGGAATAACTGCAAAAGATGATGACACATTACCAAGTCACAGGGAGTGTTTCTTTATACTTCTTGTATATCAGATCTTAAAATATTATGTCACAATCTTGGTAATGTTTGGTCAACTCAATAAAAGGTTCTGTTTTATTTTTTTAAGGATAGGAAGTATTAAAACATGCAAAAATGTTTGTTAACTTTCTATTTCCTGTCTGCAGTCTATTGTTATGTGGAAGCAGGACTCTACCCCTCCTGTCTTGAATAATAGCTTGCAAACCTCATCCTAAACATGGCTGCAGTGTCACCCTTGACTTCTTTACATAGACACATGCAGACAAATCCACATGGGCATGCGTGCATTTTAAAAATGCATCTGGTTTTTACAATCACTCATAGGAAACAGATCCTTGGTTCATGAGACCGAAATGCTAAGTACAGAGCCAGAGTACTTACTTCTCATCATCCTTGACATTTATACTTGTTAAAGGCATCTTTAGAGCCACTTACTACATTCCATTTGACAGTTTGCCTTCAGCATTTGGACACACCCCTCCCTTGTGGTTGTGGTGTTAGAACTCTTGAGGAAGTTTTGCCAGGGGCACATCCTCCACTCCCACTTGCTCACCTGGGCATAGGCAGGGGTGGTGGTCTTAGTGATGCTAATTCAGATACAATGTAATTTGGGGAATATTTCTCACGAATCCTGATACCACCCTCTTTTTTTGCTTGGACTCGTGGGAGCTCAGGAACCAAGACTCACTAATAATTTAGCATAATCATTATATGAGATATGATATTAGAAGCTTTCTATTGCTATAGCTACATTAGTTTGAACTATATTTTAAAGCACTTTGCAAACTAGTAGGTCACAGGTAAAATTTCAGACCACTTCATAATCTAGAAAAAAACTTCTTTTTAAAAATCATAAATTGCCAACATATGAGACTACAAAAACTTCATGTTAAAAAAATCAGAAACTGCTGTTAGAAAATTTAGAATGTGAACTAGCATTATAGATCAATGTACCTGCCAGGCACCTACCTGAAAGCTGGCATTTGAGAGCTCTGCCAATGCTTTTCCTCTCCTTCATGAACTCACTTCTGTGCACTTTAACACAGCACTGTTAGTCTTTATCCTCTGCCATTATTTTAGCATTTATTAATTTATATAAGATGCATGAGCTTTGAGAATAGTAACTTATGGACTTAACAAGCTTGCCCAGGAAGAAGGAAGACTTTTCCAAGGTGTCCATTGGTCTTAGGCGATCAGAGTGCATAGGGATGCCATCAGAATTGTTGTTTTCAGGTGCTGACATTGTCATCTTAAGGTTGGGTAATTCATGGCCTGAGGGTTCTATTTGCCTGATTTGACTGTTGTGCTCCCACAGCTTAAAAACCAGCATTGAACTGACTTCTTTTTGAATAACATCTGTAGGGATATAGAGTCCATTTTGTAACCCTCATATCTGGACATGAGGGTGATTCATTCAGTGAGCCATCTGCTATGCACTCTATATATGCCTAACTTTCTTTCTTTCTTTTTTTTTTTTTTTTTTTTTTTTTTTTTTTTTTTTGTTTTTTTTTTTTTTTGAGACAGGGTCTCCCTGGCCTGGAACTCACGCCCAGCATATGTATAACTTTTGACAGGGAGAAATATTGTCATCAGATTTAGTTGTGTCCATTAGGTTGTGGTTAATCAAAAAACCCAGGTCCTCCACAAGACAACAAACATTCTTAACCTTTGAACCATCTCTCCATCCCCAATTTTTTCTATTCTTGAAAATTACCATTCATTTAGATATATTTTTCTTTTTGGTCTTTTTGAGACAGGGTCTCCCTGTAGCACTAGCTATCCTGGAACTCACTATGTAGACCAGGCTGGCCTTGAACTCACAGAGATCCACCTGCCTCTGCTTCCTGAGTGCTGGGATTAAAGGCATGCTCCACCACACCCGGCTTCACTTAGAAATATTTTAAAATTATAAAAAATTAAAGATAATAGTATAGTGAGCCCCGTTGCTTACTCACCCAGATTCACCTACCCCCTTCCTCTTTTATTCTGAAGTTGCTCTGGTGTGTTGTATGCTTCCTGCAGTGCCTCCTTGGAGGTGTGTGTGGCTGGGCTGTAGCACTGTGAGTGATGCTGCCGTCGCAGCAGCTTCATCCTTATCCCTCTACTGTGGTCAGGTTTTCTCCTTACCTAAAGATTTTACCAACAGTACTTATTGCCTGAATACATTATTCTACTTGGGATTATAAAAATGATGATTCTTCCTCCCCACCCTATCATTCTTCTAGATCTATTATTTGGGATTATTTTGTAAAGGTCTTCCCATTCAGCCAGTATTTGGTAACCCTGAAATAGTTCATACAGGAACAACAGGATAAATGCTTAATATTTCCCTTATAACTGAAAAATTCAGAGTTGGTGCATCAGTTTCTTTAAAAGGTAATAAATGGCCGGGTGTGGTGATGCCCTCCTTTAATCCCAGCACTGAGGAGGCAGAGGCAGGTGGATCTCTGTGAATTGGACGAGCCCAGCCTGGTCTACACAGTAAGTTCCAGGCCAGCTGGGGCTACAGGGAGACCCTGTCTCAAAAAAACCATTTAAAAAAAAAAGTGGTAAATGAATGATGTTTCTTTGCATTTTTTTAGGGAGAATTCCCTTTTCATGAGTACGAATGTAAATTTGTGGATTTTTAATATTTGTTATGTTTTTTTAATTAGTTGCAATTTTTGTTGTTTTTGATGCTCAAATAAAACTTCCTTTATTCTCCGGGAGCCCTTCAGGTTGGCTCCTGTGTATACTCAAAGAAGGGCCTGTTATACTGAGCCACACTGAACTTTACATACTGAACACACTCATACAACCAGAATTAGACAATACCAGATACAGAGCATCTCAGAAGCACTCTTGTCTGTTAGTTTCTTTAGAGTTGTTTTTAGGTGCAATCATAGGCTGCCTCAGCTCCTGGAGCATGAATACTCACTATCCTAGGAGCCTTGGTTCCTTTCATTAGGAAAGAGATTTTAGAAACTACACCTGGGCATTGGAATCATCAGTGTTACTAGGCCTTTTCAGGGACAGAATAGGAAATGCTTACATTAAAAAGAAAAATTAAGCCTGAGTGTGGTGGTGCAGGCCTTTAATCCCACCACTTGGGAGGCATAGGCAGGCAGATCTCTGTGAGATTGAGGCCAACCTGGTCTACACAGTGAGGTCCAGGACAACTGGGGCTATAGAAAAATCCTGTCTCAAAAAGACAAAAAATAAAGAAAAATTCATATAGGTTTTTCCAAGTGAACATTATGGAGTTTTAATAGAATTTGATTTTCTATTTTCTTACATTGAAAAATCCTGGTTCAAAATAAGATTATGAAATTATTTACTTTTCATTCATTATTAATTATTTATTAATAATCCTATCCTTATTACTTATTGCTCTACTTTTATGTAAAGAAAAGTATTAAGTATAGGTTTTAACTTTTATTACTAACAGTATTTGCTCTTTCAGAATTTATGCATGAAATCAGGAGAAGAGAGGAAGTTTTCCTTCAAATCCGTTTTCAGTATTTTTATTAATATATTTCTTGGCAGTGAGTCATTCTATTAGATGTTTAGTTTGCCAGATAAGCTGAGTTATTTGAATTCATTATGTCATAAGCAGGAGGTGTCCCAGGAGGGCCAATGGGCACCTCGTGCTCTTCAGATGGTGGATCAGTCTGTGCCATCTGAATGTATTTATTCGTGTCTCCCCTTCATCATGGGGCATGTCCAGCGGGAAGGAAGGTTCATTTTCTAGACCTAGCAGAGTTCCGAAGGTGCCCCTCTGTTCATCCTTCCATTTCTTTTTATTTGATACTTCATGGTGTTTATTCTGGAATGAGTCTTTTTTGTTTGACCAAGTGATGAAGGGCTAGCTATGATTTCTGGACACATTTTGTACCATTTGTCTGGGAAAATATATGAGGATTCATAGAAAATGATCTCTCTCTCCTTTGTACAAAGGAGAACCTGAATGTCAGGGGTAGGCGATGGGAGGGGAGATGGAAACAGTACATCATTCCTCCACAGCCCTGTTAACGTTCCCGGCCTTCTCACAGTGTGGGGTCCCCAAACCATAATAGCGTCCAATAGCCATGAGGATTATTTAAAATTTGTTTCATGGACTTTGTATATCAAATTAATGAGTCCAGGAAGTATTGTTTCAGTGAACCCGGAGCACAGATCCACTTTGAAAGATTTAACTTTCAGAATAACAATTCTAAACGTTGTTCCTGTTAAGTGGCTATGAAGGAGCTGTCAACACACAGGCTTCCTAGAATTACATGGGTATGACTGGTGGTAGAAGGCTGAAATTTTAGAATTAAGTTTTCTGAATGGGTGTATTTTCTACTGTTCATCTTATGTCACCCCCGGTACACACATGCACACAGGGTTTAGACATTTATGTGAGCATTCTGACAAAGCATTCATCCATTCTTCACTTTTCTAGCAAAGATTACTGAGTATCTAGTCCATGTCTACCAGGCTCTATGCTGAACCCTGAGGTTATGACAAGGAAAGCAGAAAACAAGACAGTAAGCTTTTGAGGGCTAAGACAGTAAGCCAGCAAACGGGATGTAACCATCGAGGCAAGTGCTGTGAAGGCAGTGAAGAGAGCTTGGTGCTAGAACATGGTGGTGCTGTACCTCTTCGGAGCTAACATGTGGGCCAGGACCTTAAATGGGAATTTGCTGACCAAATCTTCATATTTAGAAAATTTCTTTCTTTCTTTCTTTCTTTCTTTCTTTCTTTCTTTCTTTCTTTCTTTCTTTCTTTTTTTTAAATACTGTACAGTTTACTTAAACAGTGACTACAGGCTTGGCATTTGAGTTTATTTCCAAATGCCTTTTCTTTTTCTTTCATTTATTTATGTTTTTATGGGGCTTTTGGCTACTCTAACATTTCCCCCTCTGAAG